TTAAATCTCTTACATGCTTTTAGATTCAAAGATTTGCCCAAATTCTTTTGGAAGATGACAAAGACATGAATAAGAAGAACAAATACGAGACTTTTAGAGATGAAAGTGAAAAAACCAAGAAGACACTTCTACACTATGCAGCAGAAAGGAACTTCTACCACTTAGCTCGCACCCTGATAGAATACTGTCCTGGTCTTCTGGCACTCAAGACTGCAGCAATTGTATCTGAGAAGAAGCGTGAACTTCTACCTGTGGAAATTGCATTGGACAAGGAAAACGATGAAGCTGCAGCTGTTATGCTCAGGCATATGAGTCATGAAAGGTAAATACTATCCCCCCCCCCCTCCCCCAGGACTACCCTGGTTCCAGAGGCTTGTCTTTCATTCTTTTGCTTATAATGTTATCAAGCCGCGAAGTGGCGAGACGTTTCCGTTAATCGGTTTGGTTTTTTCCCGCCAAGCCTCTGGTCACAAGTGTAGTAAATCCCTCACTTTCATGCTGTATTCAAGCAAACCAATCACACATCGGAGTGTTTTAGCTGTCAAACATGTCAAATAAACGAACCAATAAGAGTTCATCACGGATAACAGATCATATTACTCTGATATGTGATTGGTTTGCTTGAATACAGCATGAAAGTGAGATTTACTACACTGTGACCAGAGGCTTGGCGAAAAAAAACAACAAACCGATTTACGGAAACGTCTCGCCGCTTTGTGGCTCGATCATTACAACATACAAGCCTCTGGAACCAGGGTAGGTAAATACAATACTGTACCCTTAATTTTGCTTTTTTGTCTACATATTGGTCAGTCTGTATGTTTTTTTTTAAAAAGGATTCAAACAACCTTCAAAATGATTCAGGAGTTTTTTTCTAATGCTGGTCCTTAACCAAAGTGAAATTGTACAAGGCATGCCCAAAACACCAGTATATGTTCATCTCTAAATTAACTTTTAAGTGATAATCTTTTGGCTCATAATTGTAAATTAAAATTGTGGACCTAAGGCAACCCATCTAATTTCATTGTACATTTTTAATTCTTCTTTTTATTTTTTATCTTTAAAGAGTTCAAAGTATGTTTTCTTGGAGACCTGACCCAAGTTTGCAGTCACCAAGACCTTCTCAAATGAGTTTTCACAAGATTTTATCGAACCCCAAAATGAAGGTAAGCATGAAAATACAGTATTGGGGCTTTTTCCATAGTAAATATGAAAGGCTCCAACTTTTGAGTTTATAACCTTCAATTTACATTACACTCTACTTTTACTCAGCCATGTGGGACATTTATTAATCCATTGACACTTCTGAGCATGCTCAGTTAACAAAGTCCTTATTTTTATCATCAGAAATCAACTATTGCTATTCTTGATTGTATGGTTAATCCTCATTGGCCGTATCTTCCTGACAAAAAGAGCGACTACCTCTCCGTAGAAGAAGAACAAGGCATCGAGTGCGCCTGGGCCACAGTACCGGAGGACCCTCTGGATTACCACTTCTTTTACCACGTCCTTGATAGTGATGATTGTGGCAGACCCCCTAAGATAAAGGACACAACAACCAATAAATTGGTCCCTAATCCTTTCTTCAATAAGAAAGCTCCATCGTGTTTAAATATCATCGCTAATAGTGATAATATAGTAAGTCAAATCTTGTCTTATTTGACAGACTAAAATATCTCGGAGTCATCCGCCTAACTAAACTAAATAGTGGATTTACAAGTTGCGTTCAACATTGTCGCCGGCGTCTTTCAGCGCTTGAATGTCTGAAATGAAAACAAATCTCGTACACAGGGCCCGCACTTTTGCCACCCAGCGGAAGTTGATGTAGTTTCGCTTTGATTTTTCTTCAGCTGATTTTGCTTTGTTTCTCGTCTGTTTTGTTGATTTGTTCGAATTGCCTTTTATCTTTTGATGTGTTTTTGTTTCGCTTCTCTTTGCTTTCTTTTTTCTTCAGATGACTTTTCGCTTGTTTTGTATTGTTTTTTTTAATTATTTTCTTTTGGTTTGTATTTTTTGTTTCACATAAGCTCTGTTCTTGGTTCCTAAATAAGATTTTACAATTTTCATTTGCTAGGATGCTGTCCACCATCCAGTTGTCAGGATGCTGATACGATTGAAGTGGAATGCTTTTGGACAGACATTGCTATCGTAAGATGATTATCAGTGTGTGTAGTAGCGGCTATCAGTATCATTGTTTTACTCAACTAATAGTCTCCTTGGCAGCCTACCCTTTTGTCGGGCTGCTGTCACTCCAAATACAGGAAGCCCGACTTTAGAGTAGGCTTCGAAGGAGACAACTGAATCTATACATAGTAAATAGACCCTGATAAACTCATGAAAACACTGGTAGCTCTCTTGAACTGAACGAAGGAATGTCAGTCAGATAGGAGGAATGCTGCTATTGACCTTACCTGGAACATATCGATACCCATGAGATACAAAAGATAAAAGACTGGCGGCCATGTTGAAGGAATGAATAATAGATACTAATGAGAAATCCTTTGTTGAAGTACTGTACCTTCAAGATAGCCACTGTGATGTAACTTTAAAATGAAGAATATTAGAGTACCCGTCAGTAATCGAACACTAAAATATCAAGACGATTTGCCGTAAATGAAGCTCTGTCATTCGTAAGAAGGCAATAGTATTTCGCGAGTGACTGAGCTATATGCACGGCGCCTCGTCTTGAATATTTTGTGAGCGAGTTCTGAAGTGACCGTAAGTCGGTTGTCAAAGCACTGCATGGCCCATCCCCAATGCTCAGGCTTTGATGTACCAATTTTCATGTCATCTTAATGATCTTTTATACAGAATTCGTGGCATTACATATGTGTTTTTTCTCTTGGTGCTCTCCTTTGCATTGCTCCAAGGATCAACAAGTGTTGATCTCAATGAATACCGCGAGCCCTGGGACAGAGTGAGGGCGATAGCCGAGTTTGCTACTTTTGCGATGGTTTGTTTTTACATATTTGAAGAAATCAACCAGTTTGCAAGGTAAGGTTGTCAATTAAAATAGATGGTCTCCGTAGCTCTTTCACTCAGTGTCCACAGTCAGTTAGTCGTTCAGTCATTCAATCCATCAGTCAGAAACCATTCGTTAAATCAATTATTATTATTATTATATTATATTATTATATATATTATTATTAATCAATCATTAAGTGACATAAGTCAATCAATCAATTAATCAATCAATCACTTAATAAATCAATTACTCAATCCGGCAATCATTCAGTCAATCAGTCGCACAATGAAACAATCAGTTATTTAATCAATAATTCAGCCAATCATTTAATCAATCAATCAGCTAATCGCTACATTGACCCATCAATCATTCAATTTATCATTCAGTAAATTATTCATTCAATCAGTCACTCGCTCAATGAATCATTCCATCAATTATTCAGTCATTAATTATGTCATTCAATCAGTCAATGAATATAGCTATGTCATTAATTCAATCAACCAATCAATTAATCAATCAATAACTGTCAATCATTCAATCATTCATTCAATCAATCAATCAATTGAACAATCGATCACAATGTCAATCATTCATTCAATCAATCAATCAATCAATTGAACAATCGATCACAATGTCAATCATTCTATCAATCATTCAATCAATTAATCATTCTATAACTATGTCAATCATTCAATTAATCAATCAATCAATCAATCAATCAATCAATCAATCAATCAATAACTATGTAAATCATCCATTCAATCATTAACAAGACCTATAACGATGTATTCTTTCCAGAGAGAAACGCATGTACCTAAAGGATAAGTACAATCTCTCTGACTGGATTGGCTTGTTGTTACTACTCGCTATCATCCCTTTACGAGCCATCAACCACGACTCACAGTGGCATGTTGGTTCAGTTGGATATCTCGTCAACTTCTTAAGGATTTTTAAGTTTTCCTGTGTTAACAAGTAAGAGTAAAAACCCTACTAACCACACTACAGTCAAAGCAACCATATCTGTCTTGTACACAACAGAAATCGCATGCACCGAATGCTCCAGTTTCGAATTCTCCAGTGCTCTGTGTTATTAGCCTCATTTGTGTGCACAGTATTCCTAATTTTTATTGTCTTTCTTCACAAATTCCATGTTTTTTTTCGGGCAATCAACGAAACAAAAGAATATGTTGTTTGAATGGTTTTGAGGCTAACACAGAGCCAACCAGAACTCGAAATTGGAGTATTGCCGTATGGCTTTTGCTGAAGGGTCGATTTGTGAGAATGAAGTGTCGCACAGGACACACATCAGTCATTCTACGAACCAGCAAATCTAACACAACTTGTTGCATACTATATTACTCGAAAAGTTGGTCTTTTTTGAACACATTTATATGTTTTAAATCAAGTTGCATCAAGACTTAAAGCAAAATTGTTAACAAGAAGCCCTCTTCGTGTATGAAACATAACATTTATCGTTTAAATTGAACACAAGATACCACATTGTACAGCCAAATACTTCAAGTTGTAAACAAGTTGTTCGCATCACATATCAACTCACTGCAAATCACCCTCGTTCCCAGGCTCTTTATCCTTTCGCTTGTGAAAAAGGGCCTGGGAACGAGGTTGACTGCAAATATATATACCCAAATCAAGTCTTGACCGATTTACACATCATAAAACAAAAAAAAACTATGATTACATTAAATTACAGCAGTCTCATTGACATATGTGAATAACTTGAAAGACAGTGCCAGAGCTATTTATAACTGCCAACTTATCTTGTCTTTTCTAGGACTGCTGGGTTGTACACAAACACTCTGTTTAGGATTGTGGTCAATGATATTCCGCGTTTTTTGTGCACATTTGCGGTGATATTCTTTTCCTTTTGTGGTGCGCTGTTCCTTTCTCTGCGCGCTTCAAGCAGTCAAAGTCTTCTAGGGTAAGTCTACTTTAGGTTTACCCAAATATAGTCTGCGTTGCCAGCCGTTGCCAGCCGCTCCGAGAGAGTTTGAGCCGGAGAAAGCCAGAAGGGAATCCGTTTTTTTTTTCTCGGAGCGGCTAGGAACGACTGGCTACGCAGGCTAATCCAATTTGTGCAAAGTACACTAATTCAAGCACTTGATTTATTTCTTTTTGACAGCGGTTTTGAACAAGTTCTGTTAAGTGGAATTAGAGTATTGGCTGAGGCGCAACCTGTGGCTGAAGAGTACAAAGGATACAAGTAAGGAATTTTCTTACTTAAATAGGGAGTTTTTAAGGGTTGAAATGTCGAAGAACACGAAGAAAAGTGTTAAAAAAATGCAGAGCGTATAACAAATCAATTATTGAATGAAGTTTAATTAGATAGATGGAAAAACGRGTTAAAGTGMCAAAAACTGCACGAAAGATCCATTGAACGAACGAACGACTGACCAACCAACGAGCCAATGACTGAACGAATGAACGAACAAATGTCAAACGAGCGACGAAAAAACGAACGACTGACAAACCGACGAACGAACGACGGACTAACCAACGAACTAACGACTGACAAACCCACGACTTAAGAACGAACGATTGACGAACGAATGACTGAAGAACGAACGACTGGCCAATCAATAAACCAACGACTATAAACGAACAACGAATGAGCGGTTGACGAACGAACGAGTGAGCTAATGAATATATTCAATAAAAATGACCATTTTGTTCTCTTATCATTCATCCTTCCATTTCTTCCCAGTTGGCTGTCAATTCTATTACTACTGACCTACATGGGAACTGTGATTGTTATTATGCTCAACATCCTCATCGCACAGTTGAGTACAACTTACGCCCAGGCAAAGTACAACGCAAAGCTGCAATATGATGTCGATCGTATGCTTCTACTTGCGAGGATGGAGAACTACCCGTTTTTGGTAAGAATATCAAAGTCTTGTTTTCACAAGCAGCGCGAGCAAAGAAAAGTGCGTGCTTATAATTTGTCAAGTGACTGCGTAAGACGGAGCCTACCCCCCTTGTACTTGCCCTCCACACCCTTCACCTCCATCGCCTCCACCTCTTTGGAGAGTACTTGTGCAGGCGTAAACTTACTAGGAAACAATTTATTGGGAGAATCGGTGCGCGCTATGCTCTCTTAGATATCAGCACCCAACGACTCAAGATTAGTAGAGTGCACGTCACATAAGCATGAAACAATTCTTAATATGTATTGCTAAATAAGATTTAGTTATCAACTAACTAAGAATTCAACAAAGCATAAACACAATGCCAATTATTTAAATTCTTTTGTAGCATTGTTCTCAATTCTTAGTTAGTTGATAACTAAATCTCATTTAGCACTACATAGTTAAGAATTGTTTCATGCTTATGTGACTTGCACTCTATGAGTTGAGGGTCCAACATACTATTTTAAAGCTTGTTGAGGTCGCAAGACCCCTTTCTCGCTGTCTTTCTCCTCGCTTTTAATGTTTTGTCCATCGTTCTCTCAGTCTCCCTCCTTATTCTTCCAGTCGTTTTTCTATTTCGCCTCTACTTATCTGTAATCAGCTCAATTTTTTTTATGTGTCGTAGAATCTACGTGTCAAGCACTACAAAGATGGTGATTGGATAAGCGAACTGAATCTTGCCAAAGGTATTTTGATAGAATAGTTGACTTTCGCGATCTCTTTTACGCTGTGTTAGCCTCAATTGTGTGCTAAAATATTCAGAAATGTAGAYAAAACTCGTGATCATTTCAAACTATTTCCATTGTCTTCTACACTCACAGATCTCTTGCATTTGCATGGGCTGTTGTGAATAAAAGAATTTATTACATGGTTTTGAGGCTAACACAGCGCTAAAAGGGTTTATTACTTTCAACGGTAACTTAGCACGCCTTAGAACTGCCGGAACAATTTCTCAACCCCTGGCTGCATAGCTGACTTGAGTTATTGTTAGTTGCCTCTCTACCTCTCCCAACGGTTTATATTCTGACATTCCTTCAAAGCACTGCTGCGAGAATTTCAATAAAACCACCGTTGATGTTGTGTTACTGCCAGTAATTGTGCGGTCTGAATTGCCCCAATTTGTAGAATACTTGCTATATGTAAGAGAGTTATTTATGCTATAATTTCTTTTAATTTACTTTTATATTTCGATTCAGAATTATTAGAGTTCACCGAGGAACGTCATTCACTTGAAACCATCGAACAAAAGCTGAACTCGCTGAGAGATTTGATGAGGAAGATCGTGAAAACCATGAAACCTGTTGCAGTAAAGGAACAGTGACCAAACTGTACAGCGGTAATACACCACAGAATCTGAACCGGTTGTTGCTACTAGCCAGTGGTTAGTCAGATAAGAGAAATGCATGTTGCATCAGTAAAAATAATAGTAAGAGACTTTTTAGTTTTCACAGCTTTTTTAAAAGCATTGCCATTGTAAAACAATAATGCGATAAAGGGAAAAGGGAAATTTAATAAAAAAGCCTTTATTCGACATAAAACAACAATTAATATTTTAGTATTTTAATTATTTTTAATAAACTATGTATCCAAAGAATTCTGTTAGTCTGTGAAATCAAAAAAATTGAATAATTAATCGGAGTTTTAGGACGCGTCCTTCAGAGTACTATAACCGATAAAGCCGGTTTTCACTTGGCATTGCCATATGTTCTTAGGAAAGATGGCGGAAGATCGTCCTCTTTGCAGTCAATTTTTCCAGTGATATTAGCAAGTCTTTTAGTAAACCATTTTTTCAATGAATTCCTGAGGAAGCAACGAGATTTTGAGCCCATAGGAACAACTGCGGTAAACCCAGGTCATCAAAAGTGGAAAGCAAAAGATAAAGGGAGAAAAGATTGAAGGAAAGAAAAGAAAGATGATAAAAAACTTTTTATAAAAATGCTCGCAAAATTCAGAGAACTTTGGTTGAGCGCTTCGACGGCTAAGGGGGGTTCCCCGAGTACATTCCACAACACATGCCTGCCAGGACACGTCTAATCTTCTTAATCATTCTATTTGATAATTTCTATATATAATCTTCCACGAAGAAACTAGAAAGCCCTTAGGCAAATACTCGCTGCATGAGCAGAAAGCTCTCTGCACTTAAACTGTCACATCATTTACAATCACTATCCTAGCCCTACTGAAATATTAAGAGAGATATGAGTTATCCCGTACGGTGCATATGCGAATAAAATAATTAAAAAAGGGCAATTTTTTAGTTAATTGTTGTTTTAATTATGCTGTACCAAGGCGATACCAGTGGGCAGTTAGAGTCCGATCTAACGATCAAATGATAAACGGATTTCTATCAAGT